TACCCAAGAAGTCACTGCTCAATCAAGAAGGCAGCTTTCAAGGGGTTGAGCTCTGCAAGTTCATCGGAATTCTTGGGACAGTCCTTAATGTCTATTCGGGCCACTTTCTTTTTTGTCTTTTATTAACTTGTTTTCCTCCCCTTTCCCCTCGCACTCTTCCGACTTGCCGTTCGGCCCCCTCCGTGTCGGTTTCGTGACGACTCGGCCCGCCACTGCAAACGTTTGCCGACCCCCCCCCCCCCCCCCCCCCCTTATAAGATGTTGTATAGAAAGAGGAGAGATACGCGCGCTACATCGTGATCTACGTAGCAGACGGCTAGAGGGGCATATCCGCAACCCGACGCACTCGCAAAGGCGCCATTTATTGAAATACCAAGCTCAGCATAAAACAAGAAAACAACAAATCTCATAATATATATTACGTAGGCAGCGCAGTATTCAATGCAAGACACGGAGGGGGTCAGCAGCAGATAAGGCCATAGAAGAGCTCCAGGCTAGACTTGCTGCATTAGAAAATAACAAGGCGGACCCAGTCAGTGTTGAACCGGCCCTAGTCCCAAAAGCACTTACAACCGAAATCGCAGCCCTTCAGGCCTCTAGCGAAGATGCCAGCAACCGACTGCGCAGAAACAACTTGCTCTTCATGGGGATTGATGATTCACCAGAAGAAACTTGGAAACAATCCGAAACAAGGTTGATAGCATTTTGCACAAGGCAGCTAGGTTTCAGCCTTGATGCAAATAACATTGAACGGGCACACCGCTTGGGCAAGTTCGCAACGAACAAAAACCGTCCAATAATTGTTCAGCTGAGTCGATTCAAGGACAAGGAATCGATCCTGGCATGCGGGCCGAAACTAAGGGAACCAACTTCGCAATTCGTGAAGACTTCTCGGCGGCAACGAGAGTAGCACGCAGCAAACTTCTTCAGTTCGCCAAGCTAAAGAAATGTCCCTTCAAACTACGGCTCGATAGGCTCTATGTAGGCAACGTATGCTATATATACGATGCCAACTCGGATTTAGTGATCGAATCGCGGAGCTAACTATGCAATACCCGGAAAAACTGCACCGCCTCCGCAATAAAACATAAACCTGAAAAGCGATTGCAGTTCTCTGTCCTCTTCACTAATATACGTAGCGTCATGCCCATGCGGGATGACTTACACGGCCTCATTGACGATAGCGCAGCCGACATTATCGTCCTCACAGAAACCTGGTTAACTGAACACATACATGACACTGAAATATTTCCACCCCACATGAACTACAATATCTATCGTCATGACCGGCGCTTGAGAAGGGGCGGTGGCGTCCTAGTTGCCATAAAAGATAACATATCCTCCTTCTGCATCAACCGCGATACTAATCTTGAGCTAATGTGGGTATGCGTCACATCACCTATTTCCGAAATAATAATCGGAATCTGCTACAGAGCACCCGACAGCAACAATGACTTCACTGATAAGCTGCGCAACGCGCTCTACGAGCTTAGAAATACTCGCCGTAAAGCATCATTCTTCCTTTTCGGCGATTTTAACTTCCCAAATATCAACTGGACAGATCTAACAGTCGCAAACAAATCTGCAGAAAATGAATCGAGAAAATTTCTCGACCTAACTCTTGATTTTACGTTCACTCAAGTCATCATGCAACCAACAAGACTCGACAACACACTTGATCTTTTATTTTCTACCACCCCCGAACATATTCAGAACATCACTCATTCGCCAGGGTTAAGCGATCATCAAATGCTGTACATAACATTGTCGCTTCCCATTAACAGAAAAGCGCCTACACAAAAGTTTATTAAAGACTATAAGAGAGGAGACTTCACATCCATTAATCATGCACTGCAGGCCTATTACAATGACTTTAGTAGAACATTTAGCTCTAGAAATATTGAAGATAACTGGAATATATTCCGAACCAAACTCAACGACCTCATCAACATATTTATCCCGACTGTCTGTGTTAAATCGGACAGAAACCACCCCTGGTTTAATAAATCTCTCAAGTCACTAAATAACAAAAAGAAACGCCTCTATCGAAAAGCTAAACAAAGCGGGCTTACCCAACATTGGGATGCCCATGGAATCATTTCAAGAGAATATACCGCAAATATCAAGCGTGCCAAGACAAAATTCCTATCTGATGACATGCCCTCTATCCTTCGATCTAATCCGACTCGATTTTGGCAACTTTTATCACCAAAATATCAATCGCGATCACTGGAACTAACCGACAGCAATAACGACCCAATCATCGACAGTGAATGTGCAACGGCCCTAAACGACTTCTTTGTATCTGTATTCACGACTGAAGACCTTGACAATCTACCTACACCTCTTCCGGTATCGAGCCATATCATGCCACCTGTAACGATATCACCTCTTGGAATAACTACGCTAATTAACAAACTGAAGCTTTCATCGTCAGCCGGGTCGGATAATATCAACCCCAAAATACTTAAGAACATCGATGTAATCGCCAGCTCATATCTTTCATTAATCTTCTCGCAATCCTTGTCTTGTGGCCGCTCTCCAAAAGATTGGAAACTTGGGAAAATAGTACCAGTCCATAAACATGGTAACCGATCACTTGCATCCAATTATCGTCCTATATCCTTAACGAGCGTCCCATCAAAACTTTTGGAGCATATACTCAGCACCAACATAATCAACCACTTGCACTCGATCAACTTTTTTTATTCTCACCAACACGGTTTCCTAAAAAATCGCTCTTGCGAAACCCAGCTTGCCGAATTCACTCACGACCTACACATTAATATGAATAACAATTATCAAACAGACGCCATATTCCTAGACTTCTCCAAGGCTTTCGACCGAGTTCCGCATAATCGCCTCTTCTCTAAACTTTCAATGCTCGGTATTGACAAAACTATAATTTCTTGGATTCGGGATTTTCTTACGTCGCGAGTTCAGTTTACCATTGCTAACAATCATCAATCACCCCTTGCTAACGTAACATCAGGCGTTCCCCAGGGAGCAGGGCTCTCCCCACTCCTATTTCTCATATATATAAATGATCTTCCGCATAACATCGACTCAAAAATTAGGCTGTTCGCAGACGATTGCGTTGTTTACCGACCAGTCGCAAACTGCTCTGATCATATCACCCTGCAGAGGGATCTAACAAGAATTAACACTTGGTGCGATCGTTGGCTTATGCCTCTTAACTACGAGAAGTGCAAACTTGTATCATTCACGCGGAAAAAATCTACTCTTTCTTACTCATACTCACTTGATGGCGTTTCAATTGGCTCTACTCCCTCATACAAGTACCTCGGTATCCATCTGTCTTCCACACTTTCTTGGATTCATCATATCGACGTCATCACTGCTGATGCTTCGCGGACTCTCGGCTACTTAAAGCGGAATCTAAAATCAGCACCTTCTCACCTAAAGCAACTAGCGTACACTACATTCGTCCGCCCCAAACTCGAGTACGCCTCGTCCATCTGGCATCCATCACAAGCTTACCTCAGCGACAGTCTGGAAGGAATTCAAAATCGTGCAGCCCGATTCATTTCATCAGCATACTGAGTAACGGTTAAGAGTTGAGCTTGTTGGTACATACTTGTAGTTATTTCAGCTTGAACTTTAGAAATATCTAGAACACAAAGACAGAAAGGACAGCTGTGTGTCATATCCTGTCCTTTCTGTCTTTGTGTTCTAGATATTTCTAACAGCTGTGTGTCATATCCTGTCCTTTCTGTCTTTGTGTTCTAGATATTTCTAAAGTTCAAGCTGAAATAACTACAAATATCAGCATACTCCCGCGACACCAGCGTGACACAGCTTAAACTTACTCTCGAGCTTCCACTGCTCTCTGACCGCAGAATAATCTCGCGATTATGTCTCTTACATAAATTTTACCACAATAGCACCAACTTACCTAACTCCCTGATATCACCTCCTGACAGAATTTCGTCACGCCTCAATCACAGCCGTTGCATCAAACGCATAACAGGCAAAACGTTAGCATTTAATACGTCATTCTTTCCTCATGCCATAACTATCTGGAACTCTCTTCCTGAAAAAATCATCCTTATTACTGACCAATCCGCTTTTCGCCAATCAGTGACTCCACATATCCAATAAATTTTAACCATTTAACCTGTATTACCGTGACTATTGATTTTACATCAATTTTTGTTTGTTCTATTTTTGTGTTTATATGTTTTGTATTACCCCACAAGCTTCCCCCCCTTATGTAATGCCCCACAGGGCCCTTAAGAAGAAATAAATGAAATGAAGACTTGTTGCCCGCCAAAGTAGCGGAGTCCGTTGAATTGGTGCATGCCGTAGATTTTTGAACAGTTTAATATAGATTTAGAGAGTTACATCCTAGTATGGCAGTTGCAGCATTCCTCGCCCTCACTAAGGAAAGTGCAGAGTTAAAAAAATCTCGAATAGAGGGGAGTTTTATGCTAATATACAATATACAGTAATAGAGACGCTGCGGCTTCGTTTGGATGCCGGCTAACTGAGGCAGCCTGTCATAAAGAGAAGTTGTATCTTTTGTGTTATACTCGTAGCTGCAATGAAATTATCAATGTTAGTTACAGTGCGCACAGACGAAATTCCGGTTTCCCGCAGGTAAATAAACCAAAAGGAGTGTGTCGCGTACTCGGGACGCGGATTTGTTTTGTTTTTGTAGAACGAGGAGAAAGAACATGATTGTAAACCTGAGACTGGGGCAGAAAAGAGAACACAACAGAATGTAGTAAAAGAGGAGGCAACATCTCAAACTCAGCTGCAAAGTTTATTTCGAACACGCTTTATATACCCCATCTCCCACGCCGTCTCCACACAAAAAAAAAAGAAATACACACTCACACACAGGTCAGGGGAGATAAGAGAAGGTTTACCCAAGTGCCATTGTCCTTTTGTCATATGTGTATTTTTTTTTTCGTGAGGAGTAAGAGTCGTTTCATCCGTTATATATTTAATCGGTACGCGTTTTTTTTTTTTTTTCAGGTACGCGTTTTTTATCCAGGCAGTAGAACATGTTTTGCTCCTCTCGATATTAAATTATTAATCTATCGAAAAAAAGTACTACGGCTCCACGTGTAGAAAAAAGTGAAGTGAATCCTCATTAACAAACCCTTTGCATTCGAGCTCGTTAACGGTACTGAACGTCCCTGTTCCACAGCCAACATTACCGCCTTGTTTTGGCACCTGGAAAGTCGGGTTGTCCGAACATTTAATTGCATCGGTTACATCAATCTTTCTTTTCGCTTTGTCTTTGGGATGAATGACACCGAGCGTGTAAATCTTGTTGAAGGGCCATTCCAGCTTTGAATCGTTGACACCTGGATGGATACGCATATACAACCCCAAAAACGTCTGCCCCTCTTTTTGTTTGAACTGGATACAAAGGCACACGTTATATCCACATACATACTGGAAGGGGCTGTCAGTTAGCAAACTTGTCTCTAATGTCTTCTGTTTTAAGTCTTCCCAGCCTTTAAAGTACCAGTGAAGTTTTTTGGGTCCGCAATATCGAAGTACGTAATTGAATACACCATTCATAAGTTCTTCGCTTTGTGCTCGTAACTCCTGAGCCATGTACGTCTTCATTGTGTCTTCAATGGTAACTTTTAGTTCTTTGTTTGCCGCAGCAAACCCTTGAGTTTCGATTCTGACCAACTGCTCTTTGGTGTTTCTGGCTGCTTCCCTCGAATCTTCCCGGGACTCTTCCAGACAGAGGTTCAGACCGGAGAGATGGTCAGAGATCTTGAGCGTTGCGTTCTCCAGTTTCTTGTCTGTTTTTCTCTCTAACGTTCGGACATCCTCATGCCACTGGTTGAGGCTGGTTTGAAGACAATAGAGGTTTTCGGATATCTTGAACATCTCTCTTTTCAGTTCACTGCTTGTAATTTCTAAATTATCATAATTCACGTTTATATAATACGGAATGGGCACGGGTGTAGTGAATGCAGAACTGCAGCCGGCTTTACAGTGACCCACGAGCTCAGTCCTTAGCACTGATGATTGGCACCGGAGGCAAGGCACGACGTGAAACGAGCACTGCTTGTAGTGATCCACGAGTCTGGAAGCTTGACCTATGAAGTCGCAACCATTGGGTGCATTGCCGCAGGCTACCTATCAAAAAACCAAAAAAAAAAAAGAGTTGAAGACATGTAATTATAATCTGAAAAAAAGAAAGGATGGAACAAGAAGCTAATATCCAAGTTGGAGACCGGAGGGATGCTGATAAAGTTTGGGGAGTTGTTCACATTGATTGCTGAAAACAATGAGGAAAATATAACAAAAATTATATATCATTTATGTGTTGTAAGAATATGGTAAATACTTGACGTGCAAATTGTTTTTAATAAAAGTGGGCTATAAAAGTGTTGCGTGTTTTTGGACAAATCCGATAAAGTCCAGAAACAAGCAAAAAAACACTCCCCGGTAAAAGTTTCTTGAATTCGGATTTATCCGAAAAATTCCAAAGTTAAAGGTCACGTCGGCCAAAAAACAAAAGTTCAGTTTTCTACGAGTAAGTTCAGTCAGAGCACAGGTTCAGCGGTCATCAGGAGAGGCCTTCTCAGATTCCTTCAGAATCTTGTAGTGTCGACAAAAGAACGTTCGTCGCCTATCCCGTGAGGGTTCCGTCAGGACAAAGGGGCATTGTAATTGTGGGTCACAAAACGAACCACTGTTTTGTTTTACATATTGAACTTCTTCGAGGAAGGACGGGTTGTGATTTGATACCAGTGAATGCTATCGACTATTAAGGCTCGTTCCCACAGTTGCGTTGGAGTGCGACTGTATCCACTTGCGTCTCGTTAAGACTGTTTACTTCGAGCTGTTGCTACGGCAACCCTTGCCTCGAGCCAATAGAGAGGCGCTGTGCGGCACGACGCAATGCAGCGCCACGCAGTCTACGCACCTGTGTGAACGAGACTTTACATGTCATAGGAGGGACAGTTGAGGCTTCTATCTCACAACTCCACTCCGCGCAAGTCCAGAGAGAAGAGGTAGAATTGAATGAAAAGAAAAAAAGCCCTGTACCGGCCATGTGAAGGAGTTCATTGATTTTAATATGTCTTTTTCAAGTTTTGTCGTGGGACAGTTACTAGTGCTACTAATGGCAAAAGCGCCAATTTCACATTGTACACTTGGTTACTTATAAACCTAGGGCTGAGTTGTACCCGCGGTTAATATATATCTTTATTTTTAATTTCGAAAGTTTGGACACGTAGCAATACTATACTCCCTACTTCGGAGAATTGGGAATGAAACAAAAATAGACTTCGATATACTTTTACTTACAGGTTTATCATGAGACAGTTACCCTAATATCCCGAGAGTTGCCCTACTTACGATAGGTAACCCACCCCTATTTTTGGCTTCATTTGCTATTTTCTTTCAAACACCGAAAGATAGCCCACTCCTAGAAATCGCAGTCTTCGGATCAATGATGGCCTTGTTGTAAATGCGTCTAGTTAGCTATGGCGGGATTTAAGCGAATAGTGCTGACTGGGAACTACAGTCATCTTTGCTTCATTGCCCCTTGCCGGCATAACAAGTGACAAAAACACATGATGTAAAAAAAGCAATTTTTAAACTTTCCTTAAAGGGGCGGTGCAACGATATTCAATTGGAATGTTTTTAACTTTACACGAGCTTACTGCCACTAGTAGGACTCAAGGATACTCGCACGCAACGCCACTGACCAAGAAACTCCTTTGTTGCGCTGTAATTTCGAGAACAAAACCGAGAGTTTTCATTCAATCTCTCCTTCGCAACACCTGATGACGTAACTGGGCGGTAGCAGTACCGCCCAGTGACGATATGTGAATGCGGCTCATAGATTGGACCCGAGCATAGCGTGGACACTCGATTTGGGCTCGTGATAATCGATAGCTCGAGAAGCATACAGGTAGTGTCCTGTGCCCAATCGCTGCAATGACAACAACAGCCGAACCATAACAATGTCTGGAACTCAGCGCGTATCCTGTGCCTTGCCAACCCCAGCGCATGGCTGCGATCAACATTGGCGTCATATACTCGGCTCCAGATCATATGGCCGCTTGTTCTGGCTGCGAGTTGAGGGGGTGAACGCTGCTCGTTTTTCTTAATTTTCTTCTGGGACTTCGATTGCGTGTGGTGAAAAACGAACGGGTATTTCACAGGTCATTAACGTCAGGGATCCATTCTAAGCGGTGTTTGCGCAAAATGCAAAAATCCTTGCATCGCCCCTTTAAACACACACCAAATGTTTTCCCACTACTTATTTTCACCCAATTTTTTCTTGATTTGGGCTTCCCCCAAGAGTTTACGGTAGTACTACTAATGGCAAGGGTGCCAATGTCACGTGGCACATGTTTTTTCTTATAAGTCTAGGGTCAGAGTTATACCCGCCAGTTAAGATATAACTTTATTTTCAATTTTGAACATTAAAAAACATAGCAAAAATAAACTCCCTATTTCAAAGAATTGGGAATCTAGCAAAAATAAACTCCGTTAAAGTCCAATTATTGGGCACTAAATAAATTCCAAAAAACACCCTCAGAATTTTGCGAGAAATAAACTCCGAAAACACGCAGTCCTAGCCATAAAAAAGAAAAAAATATTCAAGATTGAAGGACTTGTAAAGTTTCAATACTATATCTATAATTGCTGCAACTTTTGGTTTAGGTTTACTTACCGTATGCTTCAGCATATAACCTCCCGAGATATCAAGGTGAACAATGTTATCGTCGGCGAAGGGTTCTTCATCCAGTGGACAAGTACTACCTCGCCTCTGGGACTCCTCGTGACATTCCAAGCAGAGCGTGTGCTCACAGGGCAATCTGAGAACAGTTCTCGACACCAGGCCACACAGGGAGCATGCATTGTGTGCAGCGGATGACTCTTCGAAGTACAGGGGCCTCCAATCCAGAGTGTCCGAGAATCCGGATATGAAGATGGGCCTCATCTTTAAAAGGTCAAGATATCCGGTCACAGTTGTTTTTTGCCCGACGACTGGAAGTAACCTGGAAAATGAAGGGACCTTGACCTCAGAACCAATCGCGCCTACAGCGCGGGGAAATGGTAGGGACGCCCCCGACATGCAGCTCGTGCATGGATTCCCAACATGGGGTCAGTATAGATAACCTTAATGGGGCTCCAAGGGCCTTGAGACAACACGGGAGAAGTGCATGATGAACGGGGGACTTCCACGGCGAAATGGGTCTTTACCCAACCTTCCTGATAAATAAGTCAACACTGTACGCACGGTTGTGTATTTTATTCTCGAATCTGGCTTAGGAATGCACATATCCATCCCCGCACCCCCATATCGGGAAACTAGGGCTGCCATGAACTCCTTCCCCTACCTCCATCGCCCGAGGAATAAACGGGTTAGTATTACTACTTGATAGTATTCTGAGGTTGTGAAAATAGCGTAACCCCTTATGATGTAATTACTGGAAGCGCACACAGCACAACTTTATTATTGTCTATTTTATGTGTATTTGATGCAAAATTATTTTGGTATAATGTAAGGAAACTAAGCTTTGAACATGATATATGGTCGAAAACAATTGGTTGCAAAATTATATTTTAAATCTCAGGCCGGCCTATCGTTGTAATCTCGTCTTCTTCCCACACCGACGCATACAGCTCCCAAAGAATATCGCACACTGTATTGAGAGGCACGCCAGGTAACCTGCTACTTCGTAAAGAGGGCTTTACTGCCCTATCAGGACTGTATATTTGATGGCTATAGACCGACACGCGGGCTTGACGTCACGGAGCTGCGGCGGCGCTGTGATCGCGCCGGAGCCGAGGGGTGTGGGCAAAAGCGCACACGTTTCGCATGGGCGTCATAGCGTTGCAGCATGCCGCGAAGCTGTGTTGCCGTTAATTGCACCGAAATGTACAAGAAAAGTAGCGGAGTGAGTTTCCACAAGTTCCCGGCAGACGCTGAAAGGTAGAAGGTGGATTATATCTGTGGATCGAAAAGAATGGTCGCCTCGTGCGAACGACTGTTTGGGCAGCAAGCACTTTCTTGAAGGCAAGTGCGACTTGCATTTCAATCTTCTTCCCGAGGCCGTTGTCTGATCGAGACCACGCGGATTTGGTTCCCATGGTGTTCGCGAACAGAGCACCGGCCAAGCGCTCGTCGGAGGCTCGCTACGCCCGTGCTACCCAGCAGAAGGGGATCGGCGACAGAACGGCAGTGTTGTAAGCGTTACCGAAAAAAGTAACGAAATACGTTACTCGTCACTTGCAAATAAAAGGTACGCATTACTGTGCTACGTTATCTAAAAATAAAAGGAACGCGTTACCGCTACCGATAAAACGTAACGCACGTTATTTCTGCGTAACTTTTTAAATTATGATTTAACACGTTTTACGGTTTGGACGATACAGGTATGTATAAGCTCATATATCAAGAAACTTTATGTTCATGCAGAAACTCAACATAATTACTTTATCTCTATTTACGGTTTCGCCTAAATACCCACGAGAAAAAACGCTAAGAAAAACATGGCTTGACGCGTAAAAACACAGAAAAAATTGAAGTGTAATTTCTTTAAGACTTGGGAAGTAGTAACGAGTAACGTTACTACGTTACTTGAAATAGTAACGTAACTATGTTACCCATTACTGTGTCGAAAAAGTAACGAGTACACTCTAAGAAAAAATGGAGGAAAAAAGTAGCAACGGCGCGTCTTCCTCCCTTCTACTGACTCGCCCCCAAGCGGACACGAGAAAAGGGGGGAACGAAACGTTTTTCTCCTTCTCCAGGCAGACGGGAGAAAGCTTTCGCCCTCCCGACTCATCTTCTTTCGGTTTCGTTTTTCGAGCAGGTCGCGCACGTTGTCTAATAAATAGCTGTTGAGTTGATTGAGCTTCAGCGGCAGCGAAGGCCGCCTGTAATTCCGTCTTCTAGTCTAAACGTGCAGAACATTTCGGTTGAATTGACGTTTTTTTCACTAATTTTATCAAACGAGCTAACGAATTAGCCGCTAGAAACAGCGAAGTTTTGGAGCAGTGCCAGCTGCGCCACACTGGGGTATGGCCGTCTCCGGATTGTGCATGGAGAATAGAAGGGTAGGAGAGGGCATGACGTCGGCCGCGTAGTCTCCACAAGCCATGCTCCCTTGACGCCTCGCCTCTTTCTCAATTTCCTCCTTACCCACCTCACTTGCCATGCCAACGTGACCACATCACGTGACCGTGGCTAGCCTTCGTCTTGCTATATGCTACTAGAATACACCACAGTCTAGCCTTTGATCTGATAAAACCTACCGGACGGAGCGCGCGCAAGCCTGCAAGGAGCCCTTCTACAATCAACCATCCATCTCACACGTGACATGTCACGCGCACCAATCGCCAGAGAGATCTGCGGTCACGCTGGGCACAAAATCGTTTAAACTTTTTATGACTAGGCTTCACCAATATTGCAACGTGCCCCCTCCTAGTACTTCTAACCTCCTTGGGATTGTGGGACTCGCGGGGCACGAAACTACAGTCTGCTACAGTCGCTACAGTCACTACAGTCACTACGGTAGCGAAACCACGCGGAATTGTGTCGACGTTTTCGACGTTGTGGAAACCGCAGGAACTGCGTCCAAGACAGGCAGGTTTTGCTGCCGGCTGCCCGGGTGCCATCCGTGCTGAGTTCGGTTCTGTTTTCCGATGCCGAGTGCAACCGGCGTTCAACGTGGTTCTGTATTTGTGCGTGTCAGCAACATAGCTGCAACATCGTGATGGCAGTGTTGTGGGTTGTAAACAGAAGACTGGCATTATCGCCGATGTGACCGTGTGTTCGCGTATCAGTGGTGTAACAACAAGATGAGATCGTAAACTGTTGGGCATTGATGCCACTGGTCGGGCCGTGATCGGAGGGGACGGGGTGTCGCAGGTTGACATTCCGCTTTACATTAAAAAGTTTAATACCACTTAAGGGATTACGTGCAATCGATCCACGTGCGGATAGTCATGTTGGAACGCTGACCTGAACAGTAGAAGCTCCTATCACTATCGTACAGTGGCCAATGTGACTGTCGGAATTGTCTCGTCCCCGAGAGTGATTGCGCTCTGGGGCAAGGATTGAACAGTACGAAATCGTGACGGAAAGTACGTATATTTACAGTATGAAATTTCGGCATAAAAAAAAATAGTAGGTAAAATCGAAAAAAAAAAAGCTACCCTTTATTTTGCTCTTTAAATATACTACGGTCCCTGGAGAAACTGCCCTCCAAGTGGCGCGCTGGGATGAGCGCTAGAAGTTTTCGGGCTCGCCACGGCGTAGCTCCGTACACTTAACACCTGCCGCAAATCGCGGCTTTCACTGCATTCAAGTTGATCGAAAAGCGATTTCTCAGCCCGTGAAGCATCACTTCCTGCAGCTGAGTGAATATCCACTCTACAGAGATTAATTCAAGACGGCAATTGCAGGTTTGCGCGAACAGCACAAATAGAAAAACCAATAGAAATACAGGCTACGACGTGCCGTGTGGGGAAACAAACTCATGGCTTCGAACCGCATTGGAGCGGCTTGATTTATTGGCTTTCACATAATTACGGCATGATCGAGCGTTTACTTTTTAATAAGAGATTCATCCCCTGAGCCATTCAAAATAATCTCAGAGGTATGACATTGCTGGGAAAAAATCAACATGCTGGAAATATTTTTTATTGCTTAGGGAGTCACCGAAAAGTTCCGTACGTTCAAAACGACCAGTATAAAAGACGGAGACGCAGAGCGCGGTGTAGTGTTCGGGTTAGTGTGGTGTTTCGTTGTATTGATATTTCTGTGTGCCTTGTATGTGCTCTATGTATGTTCACCTGATGCTTGTAGTAAGCGAAATGTGTGTATAGTAGAGGATCCCCAAGAGTAGTAGTGGCCTGAGAAAAGCAAATTATTTTTTGTAGAACATGAATTGCACGGTACCTAGCGCTATCTAGCTTAGCTACCTACAATTACTCTGCTTGACCTCGCCATCTGGTGGCTAGAGATTCAACCTTCTTTCACGCTACGCGATAAACAGCGGCTTCGAGTTTGTTCTTTCACGAGCGGCTTTTGGTTTCGCGGATTGAGTTTGCCTTTCTCCGTGATGTGCGGTCGACGAAGGAATTATGACTCGAGGAACACCAAAGGTAAGCCGCAAAGTGCACGAAGTAACTGGGTATCGGTTGTCTCCGTTTAACATCGCTGTGCTGTCGACGAGAAGACTGAGTAACTGCTTTCGAAACGCAAGTTTCTGTACCTGTGGGGGGGATCTGGCTTCGGAAATAAACATGAGGAAAGCTCGTGTTACGCTTTTATTTGCTGCTGCTCTCGTCCCGTACAAGAGACTTAGCGTCCTCGTCAGGCCTTATTGGGCTCGATTTGCTCGATTCGGGGCCGCCATATTGAGATGCAAGCGACGGAGGAACTTTGCTCCCCTGCTTCGGGGACGAAAGTTTCTCTTTTTCTAAAGAAACATAGGTTACAAGACCGTTCCTCCCCTAAGGGAGGACTATCTATGCCCTTTTTTCTAAGAGTGTAGGTTACAACGTTACTGGAAAAAAGTAACGCATTCCTGGTAACGCCGTTACTTGTAACGCGTGTTACCACCAAAACTGCAGAACGGACAAAGCATTACTGCTTGTCATTCCTTGTGCTCATGAGGGTAGGAAAATATCATACCTTGACTTCAAGACGCTGTGTGTATTTATTTACTTAATAAAGCACTTCCGCAGACCCACTGTCTGCCGATCCCGCCGGCAGTGCGGAAACCGACTCGAAGTAATCGTAGGCCTCCAGAGATTTGCACGCCTGCACCGTGTCAACCGTAAACTGGCTGTGCAAAAAAAAAAATAAATAAATAAACGACGACGTGAGCCGTCGACTTCGGTGGCAGCAACTTCACGTTGGAATTCCAGCAGGCCTTGTTTACGGCATAATGATCCTCGTCGTCAACGCCGTCCACGCACAGTTTGTTTCGATACCGCTGCCGTTCAGGCTCGGGTAGCGAGCTGAAATAGTCGGGCATAGCAT